CAAATCCAGGCTTCACTGACAAACAGCTCCAGGGGAGGAGTTATGTGAGGCTGTGACAGAAGAATGAGAGAAACTCCCCCAAGGGGGAAAAAAATAACTCCAAGTCAGAATGAGAAGAGCCAGTGTCTGTGAACGTTACATTGCAGCAACCCCAGCAGAGCCAGGACTAGGCTGCCAGTGCTTAGCCAGGGGTCATCCTGCCAGGGGAATACACCTTGGACGGAGCGACACCCTTGGGCTTTCAGGGCAGCCTGGCTGGGAATCGGGACTCAATGACCCACTCAAGAGCATTTCTCGGAAAGGACTGGGAAACCTTAACTGCGACCGAGCAGCTTCCCCCCACCCCCCTTGTTGTTCTGGGTCAAGAACCATGAGCCAGTGGCCAAGAGGACAGGATTCTCAAGGCAAGATGACAACAGTAGGAGGAAACAACATTCTGACTGTGGAGGGAAGATGGGCCCTCAGGGTAAAGGGGAGGATGGGCCTGTGAACACAGCCCTCTAACAGCTCCTCCTCAGCCCTCCGCCTCAGTTCTGAAAGTTCGGGCACTCCCTAAATACAAAACTGCACAGCCCCAGGACCCTGTGCCTGGTGAGCCTGGAGCGCAGTCCACCAGATGGAAAAACTACTTGATAAGAACAGGCATAGTTGACAGCTGTCCATTAAGAGAGACGGGCAAGGAATCAGATATCCGCTCAGGTTGTGGGAGAGGCGACTGACAATGCAGGGGGAGCCGAGTCCCCAGGACTGACAGGGGAAGAATGGAAATGTCTCTCTGCTGCCAGCAGGGGACTCATCACAGTGGAGGTCCAAGCACAGAGGGACAGGAAGGCAACTGGAAGCAGTTCCCACCTGAATGTTTTAGGTGTGGTGCCGAAAGCAGAGCCCTCAGCCTTGAGCAAAAGACAAAGTCGAAACTGCACGGAGACTAGAGATAAAGTGTTTTCCCCTGTTGTCAGCACCTGCATCAGGCTCGGGGTTTCTCTTGAGAGGCAGTTCCTAATTGGGATGGATTATACGTTTCTTGCTGGGGCCTGCCCAGCACCCAGTTTAATTGCTATTTTACAGCTTAACCCCTTTTGTACTCCCCAGACACAGTACCCTCTCCCTTTCCCTATTCCTTTCAACCTCAACAACATTGTGCCTTCTGCCATTCCTGTCTACAGGGTCAATCCTGCCCAAGATATGAATTGTACAAAGGAACCTTAGCCAAAGGAGTCAATGGACATAACAGACCAAACCCATCCCTTGCTGTCAGTGAAAGTTATACTAGGATGAATTTGGGCCAAATAGTATATTAATCTATCATCATTTATCTACAAGATGTCCTTTCTGAATGTTTGAGACCCTCAGCTTAATTAATGTCTTGAAGAATCTGCTCTGACCTCCCGGTCTCAGGGTGTTCAACCATTTATTACAGAGCAGCAGGGACTGTTCCATTGTTGAGCCTGAAGGCAAACTTTTCATTGTAAGCTCCGTTTTTAAATTCCCACTAGCTTCTGCAAGAGAAGCTGATCTTCCTGACATTTTACCTGCTGCAGCTTATTCCAGGGTAGAATGTTTCTGGGAAGTGTGGTGAAAATCAGGAGTTTTAACATTTTTAAATTAGACTGGAAGCTCCCTTTTGAAAATGTGTGCAACTATTTTCGGCTCATCTCTCCAAAATGGTTTGGTCTAAAAACTCCAGATTTGTTTTTCTTTCATTAACCTTGCTGAGAAGAAATGCCACTTGGTTTTCTGGGACAGTTAGTGGGGCAATGACAAAGACAGATAACAAACAACCTGTGATATTTCATACTAAGGTGAGCAGCGAAAGAGCTAACGAGGGGCTCAGTGAAACAGGGTTATGAAAATGAGCCACTGGAAAGCTGAGAGGGGAGCTTGGAGAAGAAAAAGAAGTGCTTGCTCAGCCATGAAGCAAATAGGAAAAAGTCAGACTGAAGGATTATGTACTGTTGAAAGGAACTTGGTATGTTCAGGACTATTTGATTTTTACCCTGAAGAATTTCTAGCTGTCCTGGTATGGCTGGGACTGTCCTGGGTTTTAAAAATCCACCCTGGAAATTGAGAGTCCTGCACAGTTGGAGGAAGCAGTAGAGTTGCAGGGAGACAGCAAGGTTTCTTGCTCAGCAGGCAGCCTCTCTGCCGCCCTGCTCACTGCTCTCCCCTCTGAATGCAAGCCACGGAACTGCGACAGGAGCAGAGAACATAACCCATGGGGAAGAGGTGATGGCAGGTCAACCCTTCAAAGGGAGGAATGTAGGTTTGACTCTGATCACAGAAGGCACGGGGAACCCAACATGGGCCCCAGACTCTTCCCTCACACATCCCATGCACCCAGCTGCTCCAGGCTCCCCCTCAGCCCACCTAGCTACCCCAAGCTCCCTCATGCACAGACATACTGAGCATCCACAGCCTCATTGCCACAACAAACCCACAAGCCACCTAGCTCTCAGGCACCCCTTCTCCACACCACTACCAACCTCCCCAGCTGGGCCATGTTTACACTAGGAAAACAAGCTGACATGTTTTAAAATACTAGAGCAGACAGGATAGAATGCCTCTGAAACACATTAGCTGAATATAGTCAAACCGAAGTTTCTCCGTTTGGAGGACCATGACCAGCTAACGTTTTAAAAGACATTAAATCGTGTCTACATTAGTGCTCAAAATGTGTGTTGAAACAGGTTAGCCACCATGTTTTAAACACAACCTGTTTTCTTACTCTAGACATGGCCTGTGGGAAGAGGAAAAGGGGCAGCAGATGAATCCCTACAGCTAGCTAGTTAGACTACACATTTTCACTCTCAGGCAATACATCTTTCCCTGAATGGGATGCATTTTTCTTCACTAACCCCTAGGAAGCAGCTAGCTTATAAATCACCAATCAGCACTGTAAGCATTCTTCTAATTAGATTCTCCAGCTTTTGCTTTCATTCAGTGAAAAACATTCACCCAGCTCCATTTTACAGACTGTTTATTAAGAGCTATTTGCAGCATTGTTGTAGCTGTGTTGGTCCCAGGATATTAGCGAGACAAGGTAAGTGAGGTACTATCTTTTATTGGACCAACTTGTGTTGGTGAGAGAGACAAACTTTTGAGCTTACACAGAGCTCTTCTTCAGTCATTAAGAGCTATGGCAGGCTTTTCCTGGGGCAGATAGAAAGGCGTTCCCAGATAAAAATCACATGGGTTTCCCCTTATCTTCCATCCCCAAGGTATTAATCCTCCATAGATCATGCCACAGGTGACAAAGAAACACTTGGAAAAATATTTCAAATATGAAAAGATCCATCATGTAACAGAAGCACATTACTAGTAAAACTGTAGTAGAAGCCATTGAATCAAAGTGAGCCTTTAGTTCTAAAGTTCTTTGACTAACTCAACACAGTATTAAAAATAATTATATCTTATTCACAGCAGCTGGAGGTGGCTGGCTCCTGCCTCCACATCTTCTACTTAGATGCATTACATCCAACCCACTAAGAGCAGAGATTCCTGGAAAGCTTGTCTCAGAGAAATGACTCAGTTCATACCCCAGAAAAATCAGCACCCCTTAGCCAAGGGAAGATGTTGTGACCTTGGAAGCAGAAGAGAATCTCTGCAATTGTCTCTCTTCTGGAATAAAAGAGCTACATCCTATCTTGAACTGCACAGATGTTTTGCCTAACTGCAGTGCATCTCCTTGCACTGGAGATCTGAAAGGGTTCTCACACATGCTACATCAGTATTATATTAGAAACAAGAATTCTACCTAGAGATGTTGCCCCTCTCCACACCAAACCTCAACAAGTCCCTCTGCTGACTCAATAGTTTAGAGCCAGGTGGCCTCTTTCTCCTTCTGTGTCCTGTATGCACTAGTGATACCAGAACCAAGTGATCAGCTAGGAAATGTGAGAATGGATGGTGAAAACTGAACAACGAAATGAGGTTCTCATTTGACCAAGAGACTGGAAAACTGGACCTAGCGAGGAGTTGCCACTACTGAATTTACTCAGCAACAGCCCCCACATCCCAAATACACAAAACAAAGGCAAGCTGGGGGGTGGGGGGAGAACATGGGGAGAGAGAGCAGGAGAAATTATCTATTTGAAATCCTGAGGACCCCTCCTCAGGATAAAGGGCCGTCCTTAGGGGGGTGCGGGGTCCAGGGCAGAAGTGATGGATTTGTCTCTGGCCGGCATGGTCGGCCCCGGAAATCGCACTGGCCTGCACGGTCCCCCAAAGTGCGAGGCCTGGAGTGGTTGCCCCAATTCGCCCTATCCAAGGCTCTGATCTGGGAGGTGGGGAAGGAAGATAGGAGCACAATTCTTGCTCACTACAACACAGTGGCATCTTCTTGGGCACGTTTGTGACCTGGGACCAGCAGAGGGCACTGCATTACCAAGTTATGAGAGGTACAGGGGAAAAGCTCCTGGCAGCCAGACAGCTTCTAACAGGGAGAGAAAATGAGCCAAGTCAGAGTAAGAACTGGACTCTGAGAAGTCAGAAACATAGATTAGGGTCACAAACTACGTCAGCAGTGCAGTGGGCTCCAAGCTGATGAACCTGGGAACATCACGTAAGCCAAGCCCCAATCTGTAGGCACATCTAAGAACCATTCCTGAGTCAAGAAGAATCCCTGCAGATGCCACAATTGCTGGGCACATCTCAACAGGCTCTGGGCCTAAAGTCTATTCCAGCCCTGCTAGTGAATATGCTTTCCACGTGTAAGGCCTTCCGCAGTCCTACTCCCTTCAGATATATGTCAGTGCTGGGCTGTCCAATGTGAGAAATGTCCCATTAGCCTCCCTACTCCTTCCCCATCTCAAAAACCCCACCAAATCATCTGACCCCTGTTTCTAGCAGGAAAGCCATTCTGACAAAGGATGGGGCAATCTCAAAGCAGAAGGCTGGCAATTTCCATTCTGTAGCCCCCCAACTATCCAACAGATTTTTACGGAGAAGAAAACCAAGTCCGGAGACATGAAAGAAACACCAGGTCTCAACCTCAGAAAGGCTGCCTTTCCCCATATTTATTTCCGGTTTAATCTGAATGGTCAGGAAACGGTCACAAGGGGGAAAAAAAAAATCTCATCTCTCACTTTCTCTCCATCTTCCAGTCTGCGGGATTCTAGGCATCAGGGTGTTTCCGGACTAAAAGAAACCCCACAGAGGCTAAGCAAGTTGCTATACCCAAGGCCCTCACACAAGTGAGTGAAAGGTTTCCACCTTCTCTCTGTACAGTCGGTGGAATGAGTTTGCCAGTATGTGGAATGGGGCTTCGATGTTCTCCATCTCCTTCTGTAAAGAGAGAAGAGAGGATGTGAAAAACGGATGGAGGAAGCATTGAACTATTTCTACTCTTAACTGCTCAATAAACCCCCCCACGATTAAATGATAAAGGATTGTAACAGAGCCCCCAAAAGAGAGTTCGCCCACTTCCACAGATGGAGAAGAGAGAAGACACTCACCACTGATGTCTCACAATATCGTAGGCCATGGATCTCAGCCCACTCCTGTGCCTGTTTCTGCTCCACAACTCGTCGACCAATCAGGTCTGTTTTATTTCCCACTAAAACACCTACCAAAAATGTGGAACAAAGGAAAAGAAAAAAGAAATGCTGAATTGTTAGCAATAAAAACCAGAAAACCTGGTGGGTGAATTAGAAAACGGGAGGAAAAAAATTGAATTGCTAGACTATGGCTGCTTAAAGAAGGTGCTAGAGAGGACAGCAAGGAAATCACCTGGAATATACACGGAATATGCACTTCCCTGGTCTGTCTTACTAACAGACTGGGAGAGTTGGAGGAAGCCATGCCTGGCTTGGATTTAAGATAATGCTTTATGCCACATGTCAATGGGAAGAGACGCTGCCATAAAACATGAGAATGGGTGCAAAGAATCTCACCATCTCCTACCTGGAAGGTGCATTCCAAGTGTCCGTGCCCTCAGCTTCTCCAGCCACTTGGCACAGTTGTTGAAAGACTGTTCATTGGTGACATCATACACAATACACAGGGCATTGGGCTGCTCCCACTGTACATCAAGAGGGAGATATTGTCAGCTCTAGTGAAACTGATGTGGCCAATGGTCAATACATCCCCAGAGAAGAAGTGTCTGTACAGGAAATACATTCCAGGACAGGAATAAAAGGAGTCTGATATAATGAGACCTCACACTCAATTAGCTGACCCTATGCATCAAAATTAGATGATACAATGGAAAGGTCTCTAATGTAGGGGGGACAGGGACACACTTGCAGGAGTGTGAAAAGTCAAGGGCAGTTCTATGTCCCATTAGAAGGCAGAGTCTCTGTGGAACAGAAAGATCAGGCTGAAGGCAAAAATCTGATATACTAGAATTGGCAAAATGGAAGTTCCTCTAAAAACGCCCATAAAAAAACAAAAACATCCACACAGTTATCGCAGTTTAGTATTCCCATTTCTTTTTAAGAGCCAAAGGAGCTTCCTCTGGGATCCCACCTCCCTTCCTTTGGAACAGATTCCCTACAGTATTGTTCCAAGTTTCAGAAAGTAAAGGAATAGGGGTCATAGGTAACTGAGAGGAGTTTCTCCCACTCAGGCCAAGGCTTGCTACATCTGCCAGACTGGGTAGCTCAGATCCTTTTCACAGCAAAAGCACCTCTTTAGGAACAAGAAGACTATTACATGATACTTACCAGTTTCTCCATCATCTCAGAAAATAGTTCTTTCCCCGCTGAGTCAAAAAGGAAGAGTTCCTGAAAGCAGAAAGAAGGTTTTAGCATGGAAGACCATGAAAAGGATCTGGGGATTATAGTGGATCACAAACAGAATATGAGTCAGCAGTGTGATGCAGTTGAAAAAAAAAGGCTAATATCACTCTGGGGTGTATTAACAGGGATGCTGTTTGTAAGACTTAGGAGGTAGCTCTCCCACTCTACTCGGTACAGTGAGGCCTCAGCTGGAGTATTGTGTCCAGAGAAGAGCAACAAAGATAACAGGTTTAGAAAACCTGACTATGAAGAAAGGTTAAAGAAACTGGGCATGTTTAGTCTTGAGAAAAGAAGACTGAGGGCGGGACCTGATAACAGTCTTCAAATATGTTAAGGATTGTTATAAAGAAGACGGTGATCAATTGTTCTCCGTGTCCACTGAAGGTAGGACAAGAAGCAATGGGCTTAATCTGCAGCAAGGGAGATTTAGGTTAGATATTAGGAAAAACTACCCTTGTAGTTAGAAGTAGAACAAGCTTCCAAGGGAGGCTATGGAATCCTCATCATTGGAGGTTTTTAGGAACAGGTTGGACCAACGCTTGTCAGGGATGGTCTAGATTAACGTGGTCCTGCCACAGCACAGGGAATTAACTTGATGATCTCTTGCGGTCCCTTCCAGTCCTACATTTCTGTGATTCTATGTGGGGAAAGGTTTGGGAGGTGTATACTAGAAGCTGTCACACTTGCTTCTTGTACAACCACAGCAACATAGCCTCATGCCTCAGTGGCTAAGCTCACAGCCTCCACAGTGCACCTAGCCCAGAGGGCAAGTGCAAAGCAGTAGCTGGATTTCCTGCATAAACAGTGAAAAGGGCTACTCCGCAGTGCACCAGGCCTGGTCTCCACTCCGAGCACCTACTAGATCTGTGGAACAAGAGACTGGGATGCTAACCTGAGTATACCTATATCTTAATGGTAGTGCAGAGCATTAACACATAGCATTCTGGATAGGGCTCAGCCTCCACTGTTCTAGGGAATTGGAATTATACCTGGGTATCCTACATGGCAGTGCAGGGCCCTAACTGGATTGCTGAGAGCTTCAGTTTAAAAAGTCATGTTGCAGTTGAATATGTAAACATGTATGTTTTAAAAATAAGTTATCACTGGAAAAAATCAGCTATTGTGCATAATTATTTTAATTTATTATTTGAATTATTTTAGCACATGAGCAGTGTATCAGGTTTCCAACTTAATATTCAGGTAAACCTCTGGTGAGTCCATCCAAGGGAATGAGACATATCAGACATCCACGTAATAGATGGACTGTGTGCTCTGAAGATCTCCTTCTGTCCCTATTTGTGACACAGTAGGGCTCACCACACTATCACTTGTCTCTGGAACAGATACAGTCTTCACCAACAGTTCCACGCCCGTCGTCTGTCAAGCAGAACCAGGAAAACATTGATCAGCAGGGATTGTAGAGGCCTGTCCACTTACACACTATGCTCTAGGGTGCAGCAATCATCTTAGATCACCAGAATACCATCAAACTGAGACTGTGGAGAACCAACTTCACAATAACACTTCCTAAAGTCCTAATGACAAACTTTCTTACATGTTGTATGCAGTATTTTTGTAGCTGTGTTGGTCCCAGGATATTAGACAGACAGGGTGGGTGAGGTAATATCTTCTATTGCACCAACTTCTGGTGGTGAGACAAACAAGCTTTTGAGCTTATACAGAGCTCTTCTTCAGGATCTTGTCTCTCTAAACTTTCTTACAGTCAAAGATACTGTCAACCCCTAGAGACTTGCTCACATGGGGAAAGACGATGGAAAAGAACTAGCCTCTGGAGATTTGCTCACATACCAGGATATTGGTTGACAACTTCGGATCTAGAGCTGGATCAATACTCACTGGTTCCTCTCTGCTTGGCTGCTCCAAAACATCCCCCTGAATCCTCTGCACTGACCATGTGATCCTTCACAGGTGCTTTGCTGCAGCTGGCACATAGGATTCTGGGGTCCTCTTTTTATGCCTCTTCCACTTTCTCTCCCCCTCCCCCAGCCTCTTTTCCTTTTTGTCTCTTCTATTTCTATTCTCCAGTTTTCCTTTTGGTCTTTATTTCAATGTATAACACATGTGACAGGGCTTATTTTTCATCCTGCTTCTGTACACCTATCACCATTAATATTTTTTATATGGAAGGGCTGCAAACTGCATCCTCTTCCTCTTGGAATGGTTTCTTTAGATTTCAAGAGCTTGGGGCCATGGAGCATATTTTCATGTTTGTATAGTGAAGAGCATACATTTCACACACAGATATTCTACTTGGAGTAAGAAGCTTCCTCCTGCAGCAAGCCATTTTCCCTTGGAGCTCCCTGAAAATGGGAAATTGTCTAAGACCCCACTAGCTTGTGAAAATTCTGATACAGAAGGAAACTATCGCAATTAGTTTACTCTGTGTTAAACTTTGAAGCCAACTCCCTAGGTATATGGAAATCTACTATGATGCTAGTCAGCTTCTCTTTACAACCTGGTGTCTATAAGTATTTTGAAAGAAAACCCTACTAGACACCCCCTTTAAAGCATCAGTGTAAAGGTCTGTCAATAGCTAAAACCAGCCCTCAATAACTCATCCTGCTTGGCATTTCCTATTCCTCACTCATGGAGTTTTAGAGAAGTCACTCGATGGCAGACTGAGCCTGGTGTCCTCCCTCAATCCCTGTCCTGGATGTATCATCCCACAAAGCTTACCAGTGTGTAGTTTTTCTGGAAATGAGCTCCATCATTGCAGAACATCTGGGCCAGGGCACTCTTCCCTACTGCTGAGTCACCTGCATGGCCAAAGCACTTTGTTTAGTTATGGATGGACAATCTCATTTCCCCTCCCTTCAATTCTTTTCCCACCAAAACCCCAAAATAACTTTTGGTTACCTGCATTTGCAATTTTACTCATACCAGTCACTACAGGCAAGAAAGCCAGAAAAATCAATAGGACAATTGTCTAAGTGGTGAAATGACTGTTGCTATTGCATGTGCAGAGCTGGCTTTAGGTGTCTACAATATCCATGGCTGAGAGATCCCTAAACATCAGGGCAGACTTGCCATTTGTTCTGAAATTCACAGGTCAGTCCTGTATCCTTTCTAGCATGGACAATTAAAGATTCCCAAACCTACTCAGGCATACCTTAATGTGAAGACAAAAAACTGTGGAATAGGATGGGAGAAGGGGCTGTGATAGGAGACCTTCCTCTCTCAAGATTACATATCTTCCAAAATCCAAATATGTTTGTGGGACGATCAGGTCATTCATGCTACTGGAGAATTGCAAGAGGGTGGCAGTGTTCTCCTATGAACCCTCCCCCTCTTAGCAGGTGTTGCCCCTGCTGGGAGATGCTAAGCAACTCCTGCTGCAGGTGGTTTGTTAGCTCCATCCTGGACATAAGGGAAGTGAGTGTCACTCTCTAGAGCGAAAAGGCCTCCTGATTCATACCCATAAAAGCTGGGTGCAGGGACAATAGGGAGATGGCTTGTGCTGCCCCTATTTTGGGGATGCCAGGTGCTGGTTTGGCCCCCGAGTGTAGGTTACCCCCCAGGGCTGCCCTAATTTAGGCTCCTGCTGTAATAGTCCCTATGGGCCATAGCAGTGGCACCGAATTGCTGGATCTTAAGAATGCACAGGCTACTCCCTGGAACACGCTCTACAACAGGACCTCCTGTGAAGCTGGCATAGAGCTGTCCTGATGTTCCCACAGGATATACTCCTACTTTCCTCCTCCTTTGTGCTGGCCTACCCAGTGCAAAGGGTCTAGAGGTCTAGGCTGAACAGTTAATAAGGAGGGATTCTAGGAAGCAACCAAGCCTGGAATTAATATTTTGTGTTGAGTTACTTTGTTAATAAAGCTGAATCCAGGAAGGGGGTAAGTTTTGACCTTACCATAGTGTGTACACACTGTGTTTTGAGACAGAGTGGGAAAGCTACACATATATCTGGAGCAGGAGAGTATTCTGGGTAGTGACACTTGCTCACAGAATCATAGGCCAAATTTAGCCCTGCAGTAAATATATTTAATACTAGTAGCTGAAAGCCTATGCTATTGCATGGGTATACTTCATAGTCATGTGTGTAAAAAAAAAAAAAAAAAAAAGCTGAAAATGGAGCTCATTTCATGAGCTGTGTTGCAACGAGCAAGGATGCTATTTGTACATGTTCCCAAGGTTTGTGCTCACACCTGCTCCACCTCTTTGTTACCCCAAGTAGCTGTTATTCCCACCTTCTCTGATTAGCTGTCACATTCGGACTGCCACAGAACCTTTGGACTCCAACTTTCCACCTGGTTCTCACAGGGACCAGTGCTGACTGAACCTGGTGATATTCTGAACAAGAGCTCTCAACCATGCTTGTAGCTGTTTCCTTTGCTTCACACTGAAGTCTAGAATGTCTGCTGAATCAGAGTCACAATCTTGAAATCCTATTATATAGACAGCGGTACCTGCTTATACTAGGGCTGAATTGGGCCCACAAATTAAGATGGAAATGCCCTGTAAGGTCATGGAGTTCACTTCACAACAGCTTCTTAAGAAAGCAGTACATGAACCAATAAAGTTTGGGAACCGCTGATCTAGTTCAACCTTGACCAATTCAGGATTGTTCCCTACAGTATGTTCTCTTGTGCTTTGACCAGTCTATTGTTTCCCTGGGGAGGCTAATGCATAGTTTAATAGACCATAATAGACCATGTTTCATGACATGATGCTTCTTCACACTCTGTCCCAAACTGCAGAAAGTTCTTTTGTTTCCGCCTCTCAGTGCAAATTCTTATCTAATTTGGTATCTTATTTCAGACTGATTGCCCCATTAGTGAGACAAGGTAGGTGAGAGAATAGCTTTTATTGTACCAGCTTCTGATGGTGAGAGACAAGTTTTCCAATTTACACAGAAGTCTTCTTCAGGACCTGAAGAAGAGCTCTGTATATGCGCCAAAGCTTGTCTCTCTCACCCTGGGCTCAGCGGACACAGTTCTTAGGAAAAATTAAGCCTGAATTTAATGCAACTGGAAAAGTAAACTATGTACATTGATTTGTTGCTCTGCCCTTTGAGTACTAATTCTATTTCATGTATTGAAACAGGATTATTGGATCGTTTAGCAGCAGTGTTGGGAAAATAAATTGTTTTGTGAGGGTACAAAAGGAACAGAAGCTGGGCCAATAAGATATTACCTCACCCATCTTGTCTCACTAATATCCTGAGACCAACAACAACACTGCATGCCCCATTAGTGACATTCTTCTCTTCCCTTGCTCCATTCTTTCCCCTCACTCCAATCCACCATTATACTTTTTTATTACAGTAATTTAATATTGCCTGCCTTTTTCCTTTAGTTTGGTCCCATCTTTCCACCATTGCTCCCTGTGCTGTTCCTAATGTTACTAATTCCATTGCCCTCCAGTACCTTCCCCATTTCTCTAAAAAAAAAAAAAAAATCAAATGCTGTTTACCACCCTCTTTAAATACACTCCCTTCACCGTCTAACTACTGCCCTATCCTTAACCTTCCCTTTTTCTCAGCAATTAGCTCACAACAATATTCTTGACTGTAAATCTTCCCTGGAAATAATAAAGGAATCATTGTTAACTATACGATGGACAATCTCCTTCTTTCTGCTAACGAACACTCTTTCTCTTTTCATTCTCCTTGACCTCTGTGCAACTCTCAGCAATGTAAGCCACTCTCTCCTCCACATGAGTAGGTACATGTGAGTTTTTTGTTCCCTCCTCTGATGTTTATGCTCCTACCTAATTGTGTTATTTCTCCCCCTTTAACACAGAAGAGGAGCCACAATGAATTAAGACCCTTCCCCTTCGAAGGTTCCTGAAGCCAGCAGGGAAGTGAGAATCTTTCATTTTACCTAGCCCCTTTCATCATGGACATAAATTGGGGGAACATGGGGGGTGTTACCTCCCCCCTCCCCAAACTGCAAGCCTCAGCAGGCATGGAATTTGCACCCCATGCATGACCCTGTTGGTTTGGCTAGAGCTGCCCCCCCCCCCAAATAGAAGTGAAACTACACCTATGCCTTTCAGTCATCTTATCTCTACATTTGATGTCTTGCTTCTATTATGTTTGATAGCATTCAACTGTACATACATCTTAACCTTCCACAGTCTGTCATGGCCAAACCAACTTGCAGCTTTACCTCAGCTTCTTTCAGGTTAACTTGTGCTTCTCTTGAGCAAGAGCAGCCTCCTCGGACACATCTGCCTTTCTTTTACTTTCAACTTGACTAACCCCATACTTTTTTTCTTGTTTGAAATCATGGAATCATCCTTATTCCTGACATAATTTTTATTTTCATCACTAATGGGAATGCTCCTACTTATTTCATGAAGCTGGTCTTGGCTCCCTGCTCCGCTTCTCTTGCCCTTCCTGTCACATCATCTTTCCATTGTTGTGAAGAGAGCTTTCTCTTTGATCCTGCATCTTTTTTTCCCCACTGGCTCTCCATCATATTTCATCTGAAAACATCCTCTTCTTCATCTGTACCTCTCAGTTCGTTACCCGCTGCTTTTTATAGACTGTAGTTAAATACAGTTGTAACTGAAGTACAATTGGTATGAAGGCTGCTGTACAAAATGAAGCAGTGTTGTTGAGGCACTCTGATCTAGTGGACAGGGCACTGGACAGGGAGTCAGGAAACCTGGGATCTGTTCACTGCTCTACTAGTGACCTGGCATGTGACCTTGGGCAAATCACTTCCCCTCTCTGTGCCCCATTCCACTGTATCTATTTAGACAGCAAGTTGTTTGGGCCAGGGACTGTCTCTACTTGCATGCACAGCACCTAGTGCAATGCAGCCCTGATCTCACCTAATGGGCACTTGGGCTGCTACCATAATATAAATAACAGCTAACACTAACAACATGGCGAGAGATCATTGTAGGCTTGGCAAGACAGTCAATTGCCTGGTCAAATAACATCAATTCACTGGTCAGCGGACCACATAGCATTTGGCCACTGTCAACTACTGCAGCAGGAGGTGGTGGTCTATCTTTTTCGTTTGAGTGCTGGGGCAATTTTTTCCTTGCATTGTTCGGAGTTAAAATAACTCAGCTGAGTAACTTCATTTTTGCGAGTAGGTCTAAGTATGTAGGGGTCCTGGAGATCACAGAGGCTTGCTGTCTTTCATTACCGTTCTCATAAATCAGTGTTTTAAAACATTGGACCATTTTGGCCATTACTCGACCCCTCAGCTGACCCATTATTTTGGGTCAGGAGGAACGGCCAACCCCATGGACTCTAGCCAGGCTTAATTTGTAATGAAAGAGGTGCTGTGGCTCAAGCAATTATTTTACATTTATAACTGATGTAGCAAACCCTGAGGTGCCGGGGCTCAGTCCTGGCACAAATTAAGCACTAAACTCCAGATGACAAGCTCACCTGTCAGGATGCACTTTGCAGCTAGTTTCACCATGCTCTGTGCTGCCACAAGGGGAACCGGGGACTGTTCCCAGGGGGGTCACGGCGATGATGACTGAAGCCCTGTCTCAAGGGAGAGACCCCAGGGTGCTGGAGCCTGTGGGGGAAAAGTGCCTTAAACAATCACCAAAGGGCTGAGCAGGGGCGAGTCAGCAGGTGGGACCTGGGTGAGGTGGGACTTGAAAGCCCCAGCTGGGGGGGCAGCGGGTCCTAATGGGCAAGGGGGGGTGCAGAGGGGGAGGGTGGGCTCTGAAGGGGAGGTTGTTGAGGGGGGCAGGTTCCGAGGGGAGTGGGGCGCAGAGGGGGAGGGTGGGCTC